GGACTAAGGGGTCCCCGTCCCACACCAGGTGCCCCGCTCAGGGTTCCAGTGCCAGAAAGATAATCCCCATAACTTCTGGCTGGAAAAACCAGTGGAACGTTGGCTCAGGGAAGCTGACAAGGCTGGAGCCCCAGGCAGCTCCTTAAAGGGCCCACGCACGGACTTAACGGACTCTCTCCCTCTAAGCTTGGAGGGGAGGCAGCTCGAGGGGCACCAGAGACACACAGGGAAGAACTGAGCTGTTTGGCACTGGAGCGAGGACTGGAGAAGAGGCTTTCTCTGGGACAGACGTGCTGTCAGAGGCCTTTGTTCCTTTGGTGAGCCCTTCCCTAGGGCGGCAGACAGCCGCCATATCTGGGACTCCAGCAACCTGGCTCACACTGGTAGCCCCGCCCAGCTGACTCCCTGAGGCCCCGCCCCACCCCACCCAACTTTCAGGCCCACCCAACTTTCAGGCCCACCCAAGCTGTTGCCACTTGCTTCACCACAGGATTGGCCTGGCTTGGATCCTGCTTCAGGTTTTCCTAAATTCTTTCAGACAAGCAGCATCTGGTCTCAGATAGCCCCATACCTCTTGTTAAGTAATGCACAGAAACAAACACAGGGAGGCAGCCAAAATGAGGAGACAAACAGGTGCCAAATGAAAGAACAGAACAAAACCCCAAGAAAAGAACTAAGCGATATGGAGATAAGCAACCTAACAGATGCTGAGTTCAAAATACGGCTTATGAGGATGCTCAGTGAACTTAGTGAGGGCCTCAAGAGCATAAAAAAGGACCAGTCAGAAATGAGGCACAGGTAGAAACGAAGGAGGCTTTAACTGAAATAAAGAATAATTTACACAGATTCAATAGTAGAGTACGTAAATCCAAGAAGCAAACCATCGATTTGGAATATAAGGAAGCAAAACACACCCAATCAGAACAGCAAAAAGAAAGGAATCCAAAAAAATGAGCATAGTGTAAGGAGCCTCTGGGACAACTTCAAGCATGCCAACATTCGCATCTTGAGGGTGCCGGAAGGAGAAGAGGGAGAACAAGAAATTGAAAACCTGTTTGAAACAATAATGGCAGAAAACTTTCCTAACTTGGTGAAGCAAGCAGACATACAAGTCCAGGAAGCACTCAGAGTTTCAAACAAGATGAACCCCAAGAGGCCCACACCAAGACACATCATCATCAAAATGCAAAAGGTTCAAGACAAAGAGAGAATCTTTTTTTTTAATCCTCACCTGAGGACATTTTTTTTGTTTTTTGTTTTTGTTCAGTTAGAGTGAGAGGGAGAGAGAGACAGAGAGAGAAACATCAACGTGAAAGGGACACATCAAGTGGCTGCCACCCGCATGACCCAACTAGGGCCGAGGACAAATCGCAACCGAGGTACGTGCCCTTAGCGGGAACCGAACCCGGGTCTCTCTGGACCGCAAGCTGACGCTCTAACCGCTGAGCCAAACCGGCCAGGGCCAAAGAGAGAATCTTAAAAGCAGCAAGAGAAAGGCAGCTAGTTACCTACAAGGGAGTTCCCATAAGGCTGTCAGCTGATTTCTCTAAAGAAACTTTGCAGGCCAGAAGGGAGTGGCAAGAAATATTCAGAGTGATGGAAAGCAAGAACCTACAACCAAGATTACTCTATCCTGCAAAGCTGTCATTTAGAATCGATGGCCATATAAAGAGTTTTCCAGACAAGAAAAAGTTAAAGGAGTTTATCACCACCAAACCGTTATTATATGAAATGATGAAGAGTCTTTTTGAAGAAAAAGATAAAATATATGAACAAACAAAATGGCAATGAATACATATCTATCAACGATGGAATCTACAAACAAAATGAACAGGTAGAACAGAAACATTCTCATAGATACAGAGAACATTTTGTTGGTTGCCAGTTGGAAGGGGGGTTGGGGAAATGGGTGAAAAAGGTGAAGGGATTAAGAAGTACAAATTCATTGCTAGACTGACAAACCTCAGAGGGAAAGGGGTTAGGGGGTGGGAAGAAATAAACCAAAGAACTTATATGCATAACCAGTGGACACAGACAATAGTGTGGGAAAAGGCGGGAGGGCGGTGGGAGTGGGAAGGAGGGGGTCAATGGGGGAAAAATGAGGAACATCTGTAATACATTCTACATTCAACAATAAAGATTTAAAATTAAAAAAAATAAATAAATAAGAAAATAAATAATGTAGCCTGGCCAGTGTGGCTCAGTGGTTGAGCGTCAACCTATGCACCAAGAGGTCACCAGTTTGATTCCCACTCCAGGCACATGCCCAGGTTGTGGGCTAAATCCCCAGTTGGGGGCATGCAGGAAGTGACCAATCGATGTTCTCCCTCATCGACGTTTGTCTCTCTCTCCCTCTCCCTTCCTCTCTCTCTAAAATCAATAAAGAAGGTTGAAGAAAAAAAATTTTTTTAATAAAAAAAAAATAACAAAGTAGCCCTGGCCTCATAGCTAGGTTGGTTAGAACATCCCAATGTGCCAAGGTTAAGGGTTTGATGCCCGGTCAGGGCACATACAAGAACCAACCAGTGATCCGGCTGGTATGGTTCAGCAGTTGAGCACTGACCCATGCACCAGGAGGTCGCTGGTTCCATTCCCAGTCAGGGCACATGCCCAGGTTGTGGACCTAGTCCTGAGTGAGGCACATGCAGGAGGCTGCCAGTTGATGTTCTCTTTCATTGATGTTTCTGTCTCTCCCTCTCCCTTCCTCTCTCTAAAATCAATAAACAAAATTTAAAAAATTAACAAATGCAGTCAAATATTTAGGAATAAATTTAATAAGACTGGCACATAAAAATAAGGCACAGAAATTGATAAAACCTTATTTAAGGGCACAAAAGCAAGCTCCAAACAAAAGATACCGTGTTCTTAGATGGGAAAACTTAGTATATCCTAAAAGTCAATTCTGAAATAAAGATATGTAATTCCAATTAGAATCTATATTATTTATAGAAACAAAACAAAGTTTTTGTTTCTATAAATAAGTGCCCAAGAATAGCCAATAGTTGTTTTAAAAAGAGAATGGGGGAACTTGCTTGTTAGATATCAGAAGAGATACTATGAAATAACTGGAATTAGATCAGTATAGCTTGGTATGTAGAGTGGTAAACAATCTAGGGGCAGCAAGTAGTGAATCCAGAGGTAAATCTCAGTATATAGGAAATGTTATTATGTGGCCTAAATTAATTTTTCAATTCAATGGGAATAAGTTATGGATTCCTTTTTCTTTTTTTTAATCCTCATCCAATGATATTTTTCCATTTATCTTCAGATAGAATGGGAGGGAGAGAGAAAAACATCATCATGAGAGAGACACATCAACTGGTTGCCTTCCGCACAACCCCAACCAGGGCTGGTGACTGAATCACAACCAAGGTACATGCCCTTGACTGGAATCGAACCCGGGACTCTCTGGTTTGTAGGCCGACGCTCCAACCGCTGAGCCAAACAGGCCAGGGCTGGATTCTTTTTAATGAAGCTGGCACAACTGGAAAAATAAAATTGGACTCCTGCCCTAGCCAATTTGACTCAGAGGTTAAAGTTATCGACCTGCAGATCAAAGAGTCTCAGGTTTGATTCCAGTCAAGGGCACATACCTTGGTTGCAGTTTGGTCCCCAGCTTTAGTCAGGTTCGTGTGGGAGGCAACCAGTCGATGTGTCTCTCACATCGATGTTTCTCTCTTTCCTTCCCTCCCACTCTATCTGAAGATAAATGGAAAAATATCCTCAGATGAGGGTTAAAAATTTGGACTCTTACACACAAAAGAAACAAAAATAAATAAACCAAATGAATTAAAGTGAATGTACATTTTAAGTGAAATTAAAATCCTGCTCCTCCCCTCAAAATCTAGAAAATGATGAGTATACTCTAGTGACTGGCAACCCAGGAACTACAAAAGAACTGATATTTGATGATCTGAAAACCCAACACTTGAACAATAAAAGCAACCACAGGCTCAAGAGGCAAATAGTCATTTGGGGGATATTTTACAATGTGGAAAACAGAATGTGTTCAGCTATTGAGGAACTTCAACAAATTAAGAGAAGAATGAACCAATAGAAAAAATATTATGCAGCCATTTAAAAACAACTAGAGCCCTACCAGGTGAAGCAGTAACCAATTTAACAAGTGAAGAAAGTGAGATGCACAAAGTGGATAAAATGATTCGATTTTGGAATAACAATGACCAAAGGCCAGTGATCCGTGTTGTTGCTACTATACTTTCAGGAGAAAATCATATATATGTATGTATGTGTATTAAGCTACTTTCAAGGCACTAAGACCAACTCATTGCAAAGGCAAATAAGCCCCAAGAAAAAAAATGAGCTATAAACCCATCCCTTATACCTCAATAAACATTGTTGTACAGACCCATCCATCCCTTTTTCTATGCTTGTGTGTACTTTTCTTTTTACACAAAATTAAGATTATAAGGTTTATACTGTTTTGAGATGTCTCTTCTAGTCAATTTTTCTCATCTTTCTAGACATTTGCTGATGCTATTCTCATCCCAAACTGTCCCATCCTTTAATCCTCTAAGAAACCTTCCATTCAAAGTCTCCAACAGAAAGTGGCTGACCACTCTGAATTTTGTCCTCACCAGCTTTCTCCCCTTCCTTGAGGCACATTTGTTTAGGTCTACCTGGTATAAGTTTCTCGTGTGCTCCTCACCTCTCCCGTTAAACTGGGAAGCTCCTTGGGGGGCAGGAACTCTGTCTCTTTTCTTACGTGTCTTCACGGTGCCTAGAATGCACATAGTAGGCACTTTATAAGTATGGTTGTATAAAGGGACATAGGTTTCCTGTCTCTTCTATTATGTGATCTCAAGATAGTATAGGGGAAGGAGTGATCTAGGAGGTAGATGCTGAGACACTGCACAGCAGAGGTCATATCTGAGGAGTAGCCCAAGGCCTGGGTAACCCCGGGAATCTGCCCTCCACCCACTTCCCAAGGGCTCTACCAAAAGCTCAGAAAGGAACCACCCACACACAGGGCTCCGTGTATGATATATATTTATATATATAATTGCTCTCATTTTATTGTACTTAATTCTCTTTTTACAGTAGATCTGGCACAGGCATTAAATAACTGCAGAGAGAGACCATAGGGATGAGGGGAGTGCAGGAAAACATAGGGACCCAAAGGGAAGAAACATCCAGCAAGAGATCAAAGGGAAGGGTCCATCTGCGGGTGGGGTGTGGAGGCTGCAGCATCAAAAAAGCAAAGGGAGATTAGAGAGGTGAGGAAGTGAAGCGTTGGAGACCGTTAAAACACCTCTGTAACTCAAGAATACTGGAGGTCCCTCTTTTACAATTCTATGGGCACTAGGGATTTGTTTAAAAATGCAAAGGGATTTAAAGGAGACAGAGCCAGGAAATTCAGGGCCTAAATTGAGGGGGTAGTTGCAAGTTTCAGGCTAAAATGTAGAGCAAAGGAAAGGAGTTAGTGATTAGTTGATAAATTGCAAAGAGAAGCCAGCAAGTGGACAGTGGGGGCAGATCTGGGCCCAGGGAAGGAGGTGGAATAGTCCCATAGCCTGCTGACGTTTCCAAGGTGGCCACTGGGGACAGATCCAAAATGGCTGCCCCTCCCCCAGGGCTCCTGGGAAGTGGAACTTGGATATTCTGGGAAAACCGGACGGGGTAAGGGAGCCATCGGCAAAAACAAAGTGATGTTCAGCCTAGATCAACCCTGCCCCTCTGAGGAGTGCCTATGTGGGTGACAGAGACCAGGAAGAGAATTTTCAAGAAAAACCAGCACAGACTTCTCTTCCCGACCCTCACTCCCAGCTCACAGTCACCTTAGCATGAGAAGTGGAATGTGCCAGGAAAGAGGGAAAAGGCTACAGAGCCACCTGTCCCAAAAGGAGAATAAAATGGACAGGAGGTGGAGAAAGACCTACCAGAGGAACCAGATAAGTCAACAGCCACCAAGATAGCAACAGTGTATAGGAGGGAGAAAGTGTGGGACAGAGAAGGAGGTGACAGCGGCTACACTTAGAAATGGAAGAATGGCGTGTCACATGCCTGTCTGGAAGCTAAGGGGTGAAAAGAGATTGGGTGGGTGGTGTGAAGGTGGGTAGGCATTTTCTGTATCTCTCAGGGGATACGAGGATAGCTGTGGGGACCCCCGCCCCCCATCACAGCTAAATCAGAACCAGAATGGCTCCTCTGTGACCATCTTGGGATTCCATCTCCCTGTCTGAGCTAGGGTCGGGAGAAGATGGTGGAAAATGTGTGAAATCACAATGGACATCAATCAGGCTGGGTTCAGAAGTAAAGGAAAAGGGGCATTCCAGAGCATCCACAGGAAAGAAGTTGGGATGGGAGGAAAGGGGGTCTCTCAGGTTTTGTTGATGCGGAGTTTGAAGGCCACTCGGCCAGCGAACTTGTCTCGCTCATCATCTGTGGCGATGTTGGCTGCGTTGATTCGGCATTCCACATTCACCTCCACGTTGGGGGTCACATTCAGGAACTTCACAGCTACCAGGGGCTGTGTGTAGTTCACCTGGGCCAAAGGAGGAGAGTGAGGGACCAAGCCCATGGCAACTTGGTCTCCTCCTCAAGGACTCTGCTCCCTTTGAGGAGCCATCACCTCCAAGCCTCCCACAGGACTTACGTGGAACTTTTTGCCATAGTAGGGGAAGTACATGAGGTCGATGTTGCCATTGGCAGGGAACATGACAAAGCTGCCCAGATTCTCAGCATCTTCATCTCGCTGTGGGGGCACAGGAGGGTAGAAGGGAGAGCTTATTAAAAATGGAAGGAACCTGGAAGCTTGCCAGACTTCCCTTTGGTTTGTTTTTGTTTTTGTTTTTTTCCCCAGATTATTCCGTCTCAAATCTGTTTCCCTTGAGCTGTGAGTCCGTGTGTGTTTGTGTGTGAGCAGGAAGAGGTAGCCTGTCTCTCTCAATAGACTGGGAAGTCCTGAAGAGGCTAATGATACTGAAGCCTCCTACTCCACTCCCACCTCAAGTTCTTACCCCATCCTCAGGAATCGGTTTCTAGAGCAGAGCCAAGAGAGAACAGATAAATTAGTTAGGCTCAGCAGAAAGCAAGGACAGGGGTCGAGGGAAGAGCTGGCAGAAAGTTTCTAGAGAGGACAGAGGTGGAGGGAGTGGGGTTCCAAGGACAACTTAGTGGTGGCAGATAGGGCTAACAGGTTAGCAGCAACCAGATATCTAAAAAGAACTGAGGGACAGGTGAGATATGGGAGGGAGAGCAGAAACATTGTAATCGGAGACTAGAGGAGAAGGTGGAAAGGTTAAGGAGAGAAGCCAGAGGCCAGGGGTTGGATGGAGTCAGAGACGGGGGTGTCTATCCACACAAGAGCTGGTTTCTGCATCCTAGAGAGAAGCAAGAGGGGTAGAAACCCCTTGGAGTTTGAGCCATATTGGAGCCCTCTCTTACCCCCTTGTCCCTATAGTGACGGGGCCTCTTGGAGCAAAGAAGATTGAGAGAGATGAGTGAATTACGTGGGAACCATGGTATACAAACAGTTGGGCAGGGGGACAGGCCCAAAAAACTCACCTTCCCCACACAGGTAACATTCATGCTCTGGTTTGCTCCTGCATAGAAGTTGATGACCTGGAGTCAGGAGAGTGGTGAGAGTCAGAGAAAGAAGTTGTCAAAGACACAAGCACCTAATCTTCCAACCATGGATCTCAGCCTTCAGTGGCCCCATTTTTTTTGTTCTCTCAGCCACTCAAACATCCAAAAATCTAATGCCCATTAGCCCCAGTGAAAGGAAGCAACTGCTAATAGATAGTGGCCCCAGTTCCCTCCTCCATTCTCCCTAGGGACCAAGGTCAAGGTTACCCGGTTCATCTTAATGAAGACACAGGGCTGCCCAGTGCTATAACCATAGTGGGTAGGGTCCCCGATGCCAGAGCAGTCACCCAGCTGGGTCCGGTTGAACTGGCAGGCACGTTTTGGGTAGTTGAGGACTCCGTTATCTGGCTGTTCATAATAGCGCCCAGGGCGGCAGACATCATTCTTTTGGGCTTGGATGGAGTCATTGTAAGCTAAGGAGGTGGGGAAGAGAGAGCATGGGCCTGATGTTCCACTTCTAGGGTCTCCAATCCCCTGCCCAAGGTCCTATACAACCACATCTCCAGCCCCACACTCACGCTCCAAGAACTTGTTGAGCTTCTGAACATGCTGGTTCCAGCTTTCAGTGTCACTGATGTTGACAATGACATCAAGGTTCTCAGTCTTGGGGCGAATCATCAAGCCTATAGCCAGACAAGGGCAGAAGGGAGGTTGTATATAAGATGTGAGACCATACACAAAGGGCAGAAGACAGATACAGGGAACCCCAGGGTGAGGAATGGGATGAAGATATAAGAGCCTCTTTATGGAAGGAAGATATCCCCAGATCACATAGCCCTCAGCTGTGGGAAATGGAAAAGGAAAGTAGATGTCAAGAACTTGCGAGCAGGTGGTGGTAATTGGAGCATCAGACCCACACCTCTTAAACTTCTGAGTTCTCAGACTGTGAGTTCCTTTTGGAGGCTTAGGGGTACAAGTGCAGTTAGAGTGGCTGGTAGGAGAGCCTCATCACTCACCTGGTGTGGCCAGTCGGTCCTGGTACTTGGGGGTATGGTCAGAGACAGTCTGCAGCATCACCCACATGGTGAGGGTGAACATGGCCGTGAGGAAGCCATAGAAGATGAAGTAGAAGAGGAGGATAAAGGCTAGGGAAGAGGAAATGGGGTCAGCAGGTTCTCCTGCCACAACCTCACCTATCCCACACACCCCTCTTCCACTCAGAAGTTCTGCACTGGGACAGGTCACAGAGCCTCAGGGATATCTTCAGGCCTTCCTCGGGGGGAGTAAAATGAGACAAGCTGGAAACAGGCAGTTGGGTCTGGCTTCCTGCCATGTCTCCCAGCCCCCTCCTGGTCCTAGGGCACAGTGAAGCCTGACCTTGTAGAGGCCACAAGAGACCTAAACTCTCGTTGCTGAGACAACCCCAAGTATAGGCCAGTCATTTTGTTTCAAATTACATTCCCAACTTCTCAACCATTCATGGCCCTGAAAAAACACATCTGTTACTGCTGTATTGATACTCATGCTTAAAGTTGTACAGCACAACGTTTTAAGCTGGCACTGGCTACTGTTCACAACCAAAATGCTCATCACATCCCTCAGAGTGTGGACCCTCACACTCAAATAGCAAAATCTCTTTCCTGATGCCCCACAGAAGCCAAATCTTGAACACAGTTCCTGCCTAGCTACAAAATCTCTCAGAGACAGCTGTCCAGAACCTTCAACAGTTACCCCACCCCCAACTCACACACAACACCCAGGCCAGAGATGGGAAGTAAAGGGAGAATCTCCCACAGCCTTCCTGGCAGAGAGCAGGTCTTTGGTGGATATGAAACAGCACTATGTCACTCCTCAGCCTAGTACGAGTACCTGCGGTTTCCACCACTGGGGAGCCCCAGTCCTTCCATCTCAAAAGACATTTCCTCCATGAAGTCTCCTCAGATTCCCCCAAGCACTCATGGACCCCTCCTATCCCAGGGAGTGGACTTCAAGTTCCCTTTGGGCAAGGATTGCATTGGACCCACCTCAAGGGCCCCAGGTGGGTGGGCTGATGGGAACATTCTCCTATCAGTGTGGATAAACTGTAAATTGTGTCACATACTGTTCCCTCGTGCTTAGACTTCCCAGTTTGACTATCTCCTCTGGAACAATTCCACCCATCACCTGCACCTATGCCCAGCACCGGACCCTCAACCAGACACAACTCCCTCCACACACCCCAAGTCCTGCCACCTCCTAGCCACACTAGGCCAAATGTACACATCTCACCACTAGTGACCAACCCTCCCTCTACCTGCAACATCTGATACAAACATCCAGCCTCAAAAACCTCACAGTGACACTCCTTCCCAACAGCCCCCCACCCACCAAGCAGCCACAGATGGTTCCAAACGCTCGCTGGACAGTGGGAACAGATAAGTTCTGCTATGAAGAATCCCCCCCTCCACTCACATTCCCACCTCTCCAAGACCCGCCCTCTCATGTCTGTTCCCAGGGTCCAGGGGGTGGGCACCAACTAAAAATAGATGGGCTTGGCTAGCTAGTTGGGAGCCGTAGAGAGGGAAGGGGCGCTCTTCTGGGGAAGGAGGGCGACTGTGTGGAGCGGGCCTGCCCCTGAGAGCGAGCGCGAGCGCCGCAGCGCGGACACGCGCGCAAAGCCCGCGACCCCCTGCGCGAGGGGGCTCCGCGGGGGGCGGGAAGGCGGCAGTGACCTACTTTCTCCGCCTCCGCAGCGCCAGCCAAGGAGATTAGACTGGCGATTCGGTCCCCTCCCAGCCTACAGCACAGCAGGGGTGTCGGACGCCGGGGACCCAGGAAGGGAGCTGGGGATACGCCGGCGGGACCTCGTGTCCCCGGGCGTCGCCTAGAGGGCCCCCCGCCCCTTGCGCCGCTGTCCCGCGTACCCCAGCTGGTCCCGGTGCGGCCCATGAACTGGTGCGTCCTCGGGTTCCACACGAACTCCTTCCACTCCTCAACCACCTGCCCGCAGCTCTTCTTCTCTTTCTTGATGACCATCTTGGCGGCGGGGGACGAGTCCCACGCGGGGCGGGGGGCTACGAAGAAGCTGGGTGCGGTGCGCTGTAGCCCCCCTTGCACGCACTGGAATGCTCCGGGAGCAAAGGCAGCTGGGACGAGGGAGACCCCCTTCAAATATGCAGCTGTTGCAAATTCCGGGGTGCACGGCCACGCGCTGCGGGTTGCTGGCACGCGGCGTGGTATGCACAGATCCTAGGCCCCCGGACTGCGATGTAAAGGGTGGTTATCAGAGGAGGGGAGGATAAAAAGGGGAAGGGGTACAAGTGCTGCTTCACCCCACCTCCTAGAAGGAAAACGAAAAGAGATGCAAAAATAGACGGCAGCAAAACCCAAAAGAAACGCAGAACAAATCGGGGTGCAGAGGCAGAGAGAGAGATGGGGGAGGGGGCAGCCCCGAAATCTGAGATTCACAGAGGCTGTGGAGAGGGGTCGGGTGACCGCTGAAGACTCTTCCGCCAGGCAGATACCGCTACACCAGTGGCAGCTGGTCACCGGGGTGGGGTGGGGGACGCGCAGTTGAGGTCAACCAGGGATAGGAGCCCCCCAACCCGAGGCTCCGCTCCTCAGCAGTGCGGGCCCGCGGTCGCGGAGCGCAGTCTTTATAGTCAGCAGCTTTGGGGCTGCCCGCCCCCTTCCCACCCCCCAGAAGCCCCGCCTCCTCGCTGCTGGCCCGGGCAACTTCATACATATGCAAATGTGGAGAGAGGTATTGGGCCCGCCCCCTGCCGCCTCTTCAGGACCAGAAGGTCTCTCCCCTGCTGCTACCCCAGCACTGAAGTGGATCAGAGTGGGTGGAGGGGATAGAGGGCGTGTCTGGCTAGGATACGGAAAAAGATAACCTCAGAGAGACACAGAGACTGAGAAGGAAGCAGATACGTGGTGAGTTGGGGGCCCCAGGCAGGGAGTTAGAGACTAAGATCCAGGAGACACACAGGGCAGAATGTGAAAGGAATAGAGAAGGAACCAGAAACCAAGTAAAACAGAAGAGACTAGCCAGGGTGCTAAGACCAGCAGAGGATGGACGCAGGAACAGGCCACATAGAGATGGATAGAGGCCACAACAGGAGGAAAATTCCCCTTGTGGAAGCTGCTACTAGTCACCCCCCCAATACCTCATTCTCCAGTCCCACAGCCCCTTCTCCCACCACCTGTTTATCTCCAAGCCTCAGGGTTTCCCATTCTCCCCACCTCATGTGTCAGTAAATCCCTCCCAACACCACATTCCCAGACCCTGGCAATGCCCTGAGTCCCCAGCCCCGGAGCCAGACCTGCTGCTTAGGTGTTCTGCCTCCTCCCACCCCCATACCTTAACTCCCCTCCTCATTTGCCCAATTGAGTCAACAGACATTTACTAAGCACCTACTACAGACCTTGTGCAATGTAGCCCTAGACAAATAAGGTAGAATTTCTCATAGGGCTCAAGAGACCGACAGTATAGTTGGGGGTGAGGGTACAAGAGCCATTAAAGACCTTGTATTAAGAATAATTATCACCCTGGCCAGTTTGGCTCAGCGGTTAGAGCGTTGGCCTGTGGTCCAGAGAGACCTGGGTTCGGTTCCCGCTAAGGGCATGTACCTCGGTTGCAGTTTGTCCCCGGCCCTGGTTGGGTTGTGTGGGTGGCAGCCACTTGATGTGTCCCTTTCATGTCGATGTTTCTCTCTCTCTCTCCCTCCCACTCTATCTGAACAAAAAAATAGAAAAATGTCCTCGAGTGAGGATAAAAAAAATAATAATTATCTAGTCCTGGCCGGTTTTGCTCAGTGGTTGGAGCGTCGGCCTACAGACCAGGGGTCACAGGGGGCACATACCTTGGCTGCAGTTTGTCCCTGGCCTGGTTAGGGTCGTGTGGGTGGCAGCCACTTGATGTGTCTCTTTCACATCGATGATTCTCTCTTCCCCCTCTCTCCCTCCCGTTCTATCTGAAGATAAATGAAAAAAAAAAGTCCTCGGGTGAGGTAAAAAAAAATTTTTTTAAAGAATAATTATCTATCTCTTTTATCTCTCTTCAGATCTCGTTACTTTTCGGTGGAGAGGTTTTTCTTTCAACTTTCATCCTAAATCCTAGACTCTAGTCCTCAATAACTCCCTTTTTGACTAGCACTCTCCCCCTCAAACTCCCACCAGTCCAGGGATCAGCTTCATGGACTTGGGATTTGCTCAAACAAGGCCCATGTTCAGAATAGCCTGTGCTTAGTTTAGTGCTCTGCTATTGCCATCTTTAAATTCTTCATAATTTTATCTTTGAACTTGTGCTTTGTAAGTGAAGTACAGTGGGACAATGGAGCACGCCTGTGAGCAGAGGTGATATGCACAATAGGCCATTCATGATGATCCATGAGCACAGAACTCCTGTGTACTCACCATGCATGGGAGTTCAGGGGGACTCAGAGTGAGTACAAGGTAAGTGTATTATGTCTACACCTGAACAAGTGGAGGTGGCAAAAGCGGAAGAGCCAAACTTTCCATTCCAAGCAGAAGTTGCTTTGAAAACAGAAAGAAGGCAGTGGCCTTCTAGGAGACATGGATGATCAAGACGTCCTATTCTTAGTCATGTTACTTCCCCGATTCAGTCAACCACTTCCTTTTTAATTTTTTATTGATTTTATAGAAAGAGAAAAATGTCCTGGCCGGTGTGGTTCAGTTAGTTGAGCATTGTCCCTTACACCAAAAGTTCATGACTTCAATTCCTGGTCAGGAGACATACTCAGGTTGAGGATTCAATCCCTGGTTGGGGTGTGTGTGGGAGGCAACTGATCCTTATTTCTCTCTCACATCGATGTTTCTCTCTCTCTCTAAAATCAATAAAAACTTTTTTTTTTTTTTTAAAGAGAGAAACATTGATTTGTTGTTCCACTTATTTATGCATTCATTGGTTGATTCTTGTATGTGCTCTGACCGGGGATCGAATCCACAACCTTGGTGTATCAGGAGGATGCTCTAACTGACTAAACTACCTGGTCAGGGTGAGCCAACCACTGCTGCTGGCAATGATGACATAAAAGGAAAAGCTTGGGGCAACCCATAATTCCTTTTCCTTTTAGCCTGTCCATGTTCATCAATAAACTGAAAATAGACAAATGTTAATTAAGCCCACACAGCTGGAGTGGCTCAGTTGGTTGAGCATCATCCTGTGGCAACTGATTGATGTTTCTGTCGCTTTGCTGTTTCTCTCTCTCCCTTTCCCTTCCTCTCTCTCTAAAATCAATTAAAAGATTTTATTTTAATGTTAATTGAAGTAGTGCTTACAGCTCTTTGAATTTGTCTAGTAGGTCTTCCGGTTTTTACTAGAAGGCCTCCCCAAAAAATAAAAAAAATAAAAATAAAAAGTTAACTGAATAACTTTAAATAGCAAATAAAAATGCCATGAGAAGTCAAGAAAAGAATTATGAGCCAATGATACATCAGATAAGGGGTTAATTTCCAAAATATATAGAGTGCTTATACAGCTCGACAAAAGGAAGACAAAGATCCCAATTTAAAAAAGGGCAGAGCCCTGGCCGGTTTGGCTCAGCGGTTAGAGCGTCGGCCTGCGGTCCAGAGAGACCCGGGTTCGGTTCCTGATAAGGGCATGTACCTCGGTTGCAGTTTGTCCCCAGCCTTGGCTGGTCATGCAGGTGGCAGCCACTCGATGTGTCCCTTTCGCATCGATGTTTCTCTCTCTCTCTCTCTCTCTCTCTCTCTCTCTCTCTCTCTGTCTCTTCCTCTCCCTTCCTCTCTATCTGAACAAAAGGTGGAGAAAGGTCCTTGGGTGAGGATTAAAAAAAAAAAAAAAGGCAGAGAAACTAAACAGACACCTTTCCAAACAGGACATACAAATGGCTAAGAGACATATGAAGAAATGCTCAACATCATTAATCATCAGAGAGATGCAAATTAAAACAACAATGAGATATCACCTCACACCTGTCAGAATGGCAGCCATGAACAAATCATCAAACTACAAGTGTTGGCAAGGGTGTGGAGAAAAGGGTACTCTAGTACACTGCTGGTGGGAATGCAGACTGGTATAGCCACTATGGAAAACAATATGGTGTTACCTCAAAAAATTAAAAATTGAACTACCATTTGACTCAGTGATCCCACTTCTAGGAATATACCCTAAGAAGCCTGAAACACCAATCAGAAAGAATATATGTACCCCCATGACCATAGCAGCACTATTTACAATAGCTAAGATCTGGAAATAGCCCAAATGTCCATCAGTAGACAAATGGATAAAAAAGCTGTGGTACTACATATACACAGTGGAGTACTATGCAGCTGTAAGAAAGAAAGAGCTCTTATCATTTGAGATGACATGGAGGGACCTGGAAAGTATCATCCTAAGCGAAACAAGCCAAGCAGAGAAATACAAGTATCATATGATCTCACTTATTTGTGGAATATAATGAACATAACAGTCTGAAGAACAGGGTAGTCCCAGAGATGTGGAAGTAGGGTACAGACTGACAATCCCCAGAAGAGGAGGTAGGGGGGTGTTAAACCACAGAATTTATATGCATGTATGCATAACCAATGGACATGGACAACAAAGCTGGGGACAGGGCAGGGAGGAGGGGAGGAGGGTGTCAATGGGGGGAAAAGGAGAAACATCTGTAACAAAAATAAATAAATAAATGGTGTTGGGGAAAATTGGGCAGCTACATGTCCAAAATGAAGCTAGACCACAAACTTACACTATACACAAGAATAAACTCAAAATGGCGGGGAGGAGAATTATGGAGGAAGGAAAAACATCTTATATTTCAGTACCTTGAACGGAATCTTTTTCCTGCCTTTTGAACAAGGGATCCCACATTTTTGTTTTGCAGTGGGTCCTAAAAATTATGTGGCTGAACCTGCTTCAGTCCCTTTTGCAGCAGACTCTGGATTAATTTTCTCAAGATATAGTTTTAGGGTCTGACTGGGTAGTTCAGTTGGTTAGAGAATTGTCTCGATATGCCAAGGTTGCAGGTTCAATCCTTGGTCAGGGTACATACAAAAAAAAAAAAAAAATCAACCAATGAACGCATAAATAAGTGTAACAACAAATCAAAATTTTTCTCTCTCTCCCTAAAATCAATCAATAATTTTTTTTTTTTAAATAGCAGTTTTAATTAAGCCACTCCTCAGCTCAAAGGTCCTTTAATCGCTTCCTGGTACCCTGCAGGATGGAGTCCTGATTCTTCAGTTTAACCTTCAGGGTACTCCACAGTCTAGATCTGTGTCCCCAGCCCCTTTCCCATTAGGTCCCAACTAGTCCTCTGCCAGAATTGCGCAGGCCACTCCCAGCACAGGCTGCTCTTACTCCTGACTTCACACCTTTGTCCACTTCATTTCCTCCTCCTGGAAGACTACGCATCCTTCAACGTCCACACAATTCCCATTCATTCATTGAATGGGTATCTAATGAGCATTTGCTTAGAACCAGGCGCTGCTTGGTTCTGTCCTCTTGGGGCTCCCATCCTAATAAAAAATTAAATAATGCTAATATCCAGAAAGAATAAAACGGAACGTGCCAAAGGGTGCCTGGATGGTCAGGGAAGGCCCTAGTGAAAAGGTGACTTATCCTGTGATACCTGAGTGACCCAAAAGAGCCATGGAGAGATGC